CACACTGTATGCAGTTGAAGAGGTTTTTATGTTATATGTTTTGTGTGTTTGTGTTTGTTTGAAAATAAAAAAATTATTTAAAAAAAAGGGTGGGCTGGGTCTTCCAAATATTAGAAATTATTGGGTAGCTAATCAATTAAAGGTGGTCCCAGATATTATAGTAGTAACTAGAGATTTAATATGGAAGGATATAGAGTTGAAAGAATTAAGGGAAATAGGTGGTCCTATAGAAACATACTGGTTTAAAAAGGATATTTAAAAAATTGCCAGGAGGATTCAAAATCCCTTTTTAAAAAATTTGATAGAATTATGGACTAAATGGAGATATTGGCTAATGCCAGAAATTTCTCCTTAAGGTGGTGGAAATGGAGAAATTCCCTAAGAGTGAATCGAAAGAATGGATTAGTAAACTAAAAGAAAGTCAGATATATAAATGGGAAGACTGGAAGAACAAGTTAAAGAATTTGATAGTGATTGGAAAAATATTTGGAATAGAAGAGTATATAAGAATATGTCAGTTAGAGTTAAGGAAAATGGATATAAAGTGATATGGAGGTGATATCTAATACCACGTAAATTAAATCAAATAGATGGTAAATATTCAAATATTTGTTGGAGGTGCAAGAAAGAGGTTGGAACATATAAACATATGTAGTGGGATTGTGACAGTGCACAAAAAATATGGGACATTGTGTTTAGAGAAATTAGAGCACTTTTAAATGTAAATTTAGACATGTCACCAAGAATTGCATTACTGTTGCTGGTGGAAAAACGAGATATAAATGAAACAAAAAAGGAATTGATTGTAAATTTCATAATGGCAGCTAGATTAGTGATGGCTAAATATTGGGGACGAAATTGGGATATTCTCCATACTTGGTGGAGATAGCATTCAGGAATGGGTTAAACTCATCTGCTTAGCTGATTGGACTGAGTCTGTCAGACCTGTTAAGACACGCCTCCGCTGCTCACAGTCTCCAGCTTTTTACTCAGTCCATTAGCAAGGACAGATGTGCTTGATCTAGCTCCATTAATTGAGGAAAACGACTTGATTGTTCCAAAGTGAGTTTCTTGGAGGAGTCTCACCCTGGTCGGATCACCAGGCTGGGGTGAGCGACGGGAGCTCCGGCTCGATCGCCTCGGCTCTTCACAGGTAAAGCGACTGTTGGAAGAAATGTCCTTCTGGGTTCAGCTCCAAGTGTGGAAAAAAGACACTGGAGACATGGAGGCTGTTTGGAAAGATGGTTTAATGGTGGACAGGACCACATGGCGAAGGGTCCTGAACAGAAAAGGTGATCACATGCTTCAATGTTGGGTGAAGAAGAAGAGAGAGACAGAAGGGCTGGAAGTTCCTGGCTTTATGCTCTCTGTTCAGCCCCACCTCTCTGTTTCCTGTTCCTGTGTAAGAAAATGTATTCTGATTGGTTGTCATACTCCCATGGGGCCATGCAGGGGCAACTCTCTAGGCTGACTTTGAGTCCAAGTTTGAGTTTCCAGATGCCATGTGGTGAGTGGGGTAAAGGGCTAATACTATCATGCCTTAATCGCATCACCCTGGAGCTGAAGGGGGAACTCTTTGTTATGTAGAATCGACTGGCTTGGGCATTTTAATGGCCCATTAAGGAAAGTGGGGGCTATTAAGAGTGAGTCTGTTTCCTGCCTAAAAATATGTTTCTAGATTTCTGATCCAGGGAAATATAATATTCTGTCTTTTCAATATTTCCCAGGATATTTCAGTTTTCTAGCTGATGGGTGGGTTTTAACTTTCTACATGATGATCGTGGGGGCTGCATGCACGAGGCTTCTCTGTGCCATTGCCCAAGAGGTTGGAGACCTTAGGCGCTTCATGCTCCTCACCGGAGCCTGGCTACAGGAGTTAAATGGGCCAAGTGATCATAGGAGCTTTCGCGCTCCAGTCACGACCCCGGGCTGCCAGGATTGCAAGTGTTTGGAGAGGTTTGGAGT